ATATATAGGCCTATTCGTGTGGGTTGTTGGAGGGTGCTACTGGTTGATACAGTTGTATTATAATGTAGCGAGCTGTGAGTCTTTAAAACAGAAGAAATCCAGCATGTATAATGGACTGAAGTTTTGGATAGTAATGGTTTTTGTTGTTGTTTGTTTTTAAAGTATTAGTGTTTGTGTTATTAGAATAGCTGGGCGTAGACCACAGTTAAAACAATTGTTTATGTAGGCCTGAAGCACGCGCCGTCTTGGTTCGGGAGTTTAATTATTACGACTGAAATGGAACGCAAAATACGGGGTGCCCGTTACACGGCCCGACTCGCCGATCCCATCCGTAGTGGGCACACTTCGTGAAATTATTATTTCTCCAGAGGATCTAGAGATTCTACTGCTTGGGAGAAGTAGGTTTCTATTACCTGAAAGGCGTAGGCTAGGCTTAACTGTTGCTTAGCTCGTGATATCAAAGTTTTGAAAGACAACAAAATTATGCTCTAATCCTTTCTTTCTTTATTTTCTAAAATACATTTTGGTACTCAGGAAAAAAACAAAACCAAAAGAAACATATGAACTGAAGTTTCTATTTCCAAAATAAATTTTACAAGAGCTGCGCTGTTGCACAATTCAAATTTTACTGTTATAGATCTACAACGTTTAAAAGTTGTTGACAAAAATACAAGACCCCTATTTAATAAGATCCATACAGGATAATAGAGTATTTCCGGGTATCTAAATCTTATCTTACCGCCAGTTCCTATTCATCGTTTTTGACTTGGCTGCAATAAGGAATAAGGAGGTTAAAGTAATTTTAGCTCCTTGCTTGGTTGTAAAATTAGCCCTGTTTTGGCTGCACACAGCAAATAAATCCTGGAATCCTAATTTCGGCCGAATTCTCAATTCTCAGACACGCTCGACCCTGTAAGTGCTAGATCTAGGCCCTATATAGTGCTAGGCCAAGGTTCAGATACTATTATACTATGGCAGTCCATTCACCAAGGAAACGAATCTCTACATAATTTTTTGAAAATATTATATTTCTAATGATATATCATACTATAAAAATGTGTTTCTGCAACAGGCATATTTTGTTAATTCTATTTCTTTACAAAGCTATTTCATAGATTTAGGCCAAAAGAAAAATCTTCATTTCGGCATTGAACGGCCAAAACCATCTGGCAGGAATAGCTCTGGCAGCAACCAAAGATCTGCAGTATCTAGATCTAGTCAGGGAAACCCATAGACCATGGGGAAACCTGTACGCACAATAATCTAAGACTAAGAGGGTCGTTGTATTCGTTAACGGCAGGCAGGAAGGGGGCTCTGCAGTTTTATATTTTTATCTATAGACCTATTAATATCTCGTATTATAATGTTTGGCTCGTCCCCGATATTTTAGTTACCATTCCTTACAGCTGCTTGTGAAAGAGAAACACAATTTACGTGTAAGTTGTTCAGTTAACTAAACCGCAATCATCGGAAAATCTACAAATTATATTAAAACTAGAGACAAAGAATTTTTTTGTGAACCCCCCCTCCCCGAAGTCTGACCACACTCACAAATCCACCAGAAAAAAATATTCTCTCTAGACCCTGTATATATAACCTGCATCCCAGACAGCATGACTTCCTCGGCTGACTGTGCGGCATTGAGTCGGCAAGGCGGACAAGCGGATTACGATGTTTAACTGACGTAGGGC